ACCGGAATTGACCCCGGGACCCTCCAGTCTGCAGATTGATGCTCTGTCCACTGAGCCAAACCAGCTAGGGCATGCTTAATCTTTTAAGTGTGTTACATGTCCTCACTACAATTCTGAAGAGCATACTGTCTTTATGTATTTCTTTCTTTCTTAGAATAAAGAGTGAGAGACCAAGCTGATATTTGTGTATATAAGGATAGTTACTTTTATTTTGAAATAAATATTTATCAGAAACCTTGAATTTTTCATTTATGTTTTCTCATGAGGAAGTATGCAGACATAATTCAACTTTTAAATACTATTTCATAATATTGAGCAAAGGCAAGGTAGGTAAAATAAATGTCTTAAAAATATTTGGTGGTAGGAGAAATGGTTTAAATATATGGCAATTGCAGGTTATTAGAAGTTTAGTGAGTCACTTATAGAAATTACTAATTTTGAGTAATTTAGTGGGAATTTAGAAATTTTTCTAAAAGCTTCTTCTTGTAGCTCCAATCTCTTTCTTGGAGCATTCCTCCAGTTTCTTTATCTTTTATTCTTTTTCATCTTCTTACCAGAAAGCTACAGGTAGACTAGGCATTGTTATATAAATCCATTTTTATTATGAGAGTAGAGTCATGACTCCAGAGATTTTTTTCAACTAGGAGATGATCCACCATTCCAGTCAGTATTGTGTACATGAAGTGGTCAGTTTAATCCCATTTCAAGGCCATAAAGCATTGTGATGACAGTCTGGTAGGTTTATTTTTCTTCAACATTATGCTAACTTGTATTTTCTTTGTCTCAGATTTCTTTTTTTTTTAAGTATATTTTATTGATTTTTTTACAGAGAGGAAGGGAGAGGGATAGAGAGTTAGAAACATGGATGAGAGAGAAACGTCGATCAGCTGCTTCCTGCACACCTCCTACTGGGGATGTGCCCACAACCAAGGTACAAGCCCTTAACCGGAATTGAACCTGGGACCCTTAAGTCCATAGGCCAAAACTCTATCCACAGGGCCAAACCGGTTAGGTGTCTCAGATTTCTTACCTGTAATATCTGATACTATCTTTTTTATGGATGAGGTAGACATTTGTATTGGGCATGGAATAACATCTAACATACTGCTGCAGTCTGGTATTACTGCTCTTTCTGACTTATACCTTTTTGGATTGAGGCACATAGGTGAGGCAGTCCATATAAATTTTCTGTTGTGTCTTCAGTATATACAATTAGAGGCCCAGTGCACGAAATTTGTGCAATGGAAGGGGGGGGTCCCTCAGCCTGTGCCCTTGGGGGATGTCCGACCGTAGGGATCGGGCCTAAACCGGCAGTTGGACATCCCTCCCGCAACCCAGGATGCTGCATGTACCAGTGACCATACTTTTCATACGGGTGAAAGGCATCTTGCTGCTGTATGGGCAGCTACATTTTTTGCCCGCATTATAAAAAGTAGCACATAACATGATCCTTCTGAGGCTGGTAATACCATTTTCCCCATCTTATGGGTGGAAAAACTGTAGCAGAGAGAAATTAAGTAATTGGCTTTGTCGCACAGTTATAAGTGTCAGAATCAGGACTGACCACAAAATGTGCAAGCCAGAGTCCATGCATGTCATTGCTGCATCATCCTGTTTTTTCAGTGTTAGAGTAGCCTTGCTAGTTTTAATTTTTAAATCTCAGACTGTTCCCAGTATGTAGGGTAGGGTCCCTAGGCCTGGCCAGCAATCAGGGCCGATCTGTGGGGTGACCAGTGACTGGTGGGTGGTGGCCAGCCCTGCCCCCCCATTGCCTCCTGCATTGAGTGTCTGCCCCCCAATGGTCAGTGTGCATCATAGTGACCAGTTGTTCCGCTGGTCGATCCGCCGTTTGGTCGATTTGCATACTAGGGCTTTATTATATTGGATAGGATACCTTTCATGCAAGTGAAAATACAGTTTTTAGTTAGGAATAATTGACTGGCTTAGTACTCATTTGAAAATGATACAAGTTTCTCCTTATAAAATTCAGTTTGTAAAAAATAAGTTAGGTGATGTAAAACTTCTATTATATTGTGATTTTTAACGTATTTTGGTCTCTCATTTTACTAGGAGTAAAGAAATGGGTCGCTCCAATTCTAGATCACATTCTTCAAGATCAAAGTCTAGATCACAGTCTAGTTCTCGATCAAGATCAAGGTCACACTCTAGAAAGAAGAGATACAGGTGAATTACTGTCCTTTTTAAGTCTTTTAATGATAGTGATATCTAATATTTATGAAGTGCTTACTATATACAATAGTGCTAAATTCATTAATATATTCTCAAAGAATCTTGTCAAATTGATTTGTTGTTACCCTCATTTTAGAGTTAGAGAAGTTGAAAATTGTCCAAGTTGTAAGCTAATAACTGGTAGAGCTTAGATTAGAATCCAGCTAGTCTAACGCTATATTTCAGATTCTTACTGTGCTGTGCACTCTATGGTAATTTCTTGTTTTTATCTATACGTTGAGATGAATTAGATAAAGTAACAAACAATTATTTGGCAGTAAATCTATATATGATTTCATAGTTGCTTACTATTTCTGACTCAAGGCACCCATAAGTTTATTCTTTCGTTAAAAATGATTAACTTCAGTTATCTTTCTTTAAATAGTAATACATATAGTTAGCATAGAAAATGGAAACCATATGTTGAAAATAAAAGTGACCATAATCTCATTAAGAATTAATACTAGTTTATGATATTTTTGTATTTTTCTAAGCCTAACTTTATATTATGTATGCATTTGGCCAATGGTATTTCATTGATGAATATTTTTCTGTACTGTTAAAAATTCTTTTATACTATTTAAGTCCTTTAGTAAATGTACTATAATTTGTTAGTATGTTCTGTTGAATATGTCTTTTTCCCCCCATTTTCTGTGCCTTCATTTCTAAGGTCTTTAATTTAGTCTTTCAATATTTACCTTACAAATGAGACTTTTTCATTAAAAACAATAAACGTTTACTTTTGTGTACATGCGTTGTTTTTTAATGTATACTTTTAGTTTTGACAATTGATTTGCATGTTATATTCAACCAGGACTATTTAGAATGGTAGGATGGAATAGTTTATTTTTATTGCATTGATATTTATTTCATTTTTAGTTCTAGGTCTCGTTCCAGGACGTATTCAAGATCTCGTAGTAGAGATCGTATTTATTCTAGAGATTATCGTCGAGATTACAGAAATAATAGAGGAATGAGACGACCTTATGGGTACAGAGGAAGGGGTAGAGGGTATTATCAAGGTGGAGGAGGTAGATATCATCGAGGTGGCTATAGACCTGTCTGGAACAGAAGACACTCTAGGAGTCCTAGACGAGGTCGTTCACGTTCCAGAAGTCCAAAAAGAAGATCCGTTTCTTCTCAAAGATCCCGAAGCAGATCTCGCCGGTCATACAGATCCTCTAGGTCTCCAAGATCATCCTCTTCTCGTTCTTCATCCCCATATAGCAAATCTCCTGTCTCTAAAAGACGAGGGTCTCAGGAAAAACAAACCAAAAAATCTGAAGGGGAGCCCCAAGAAGAGAGTCCTTTGAAAAATAAATCACAGGAGGAACCGAAAGATACATTTGAACATGACCCATCTGAATCTATTGATGAGTTTAATAAGTCATCAGCCACATCTGGTGATATTTGGCCTGGCCTTTCAGCTTATGATAATAGTCCTAGATCACCCCATAGTCCTTCACCAATTGCTACGCCACCTAGTCAGAGTTCATCTTGCTCTGATGCGCCCATGCTCAGTACAGTCCACTCTGCAAAAAACACCCCCTCTCAGCATTCACATTCCATTCAGCATAGTCCTGAAAGATCTGGGTCTGGTTCTGTTGGAAATGGATCTAGTCGATACAGTCCTTCTCAGAATAGTCCAATTCATCACATCCCTTCACGAAGAAGCCCTGCAAAGACAATCACACCACAGAATGCGCCAAGAGATGAGGCTAGGGGACGTTCTTCATTTTATCCTGACGGTGGAGATCAGGAAACTGCAAAGACAGGAAAATTCTTAAAAAGGTAAGAACTAAAGCAGAGAACTTAGATGAAAATATTAATAGTTTTATTCTTTGGATTTATAAGACTTAAAATTGCATTGCTATATGTATTTAGCTACTTTTACTCATGAATTCCTTTATAAGTTAATTCCAGATTGTTTTTACTTACATCTCTTTAACTTTGGAAGTTGTGTTTTAATAAGAACTAATTTATATTCCTCCTTTTTTTATCCATTTTCAGTAAGTTCACAATTAAGAATGTAAACAAAAAATGAGTAGTGTAAAGCATAACTGTTAACATGTAAAAACAAAATTTTCAGAGATTATTTTGTAATGTTAGTGCATTAAAAGCTTATTTTGTTTTCTTCAGCATTATGTGACCTATATAAATAATGCAATTCTATTTCATGTTCTTAACTTGTGTAGTATTATAAATAGTCAGCTGCCAATTTTTAATGAATCTGCCTGACCATAGAAAAGATAATGATATTTCTTACTGACTAGTAATATTTGAAACAGATACTCAGTTTGAATTCTAATTTCAAGTGTTGCTAAATGAAATAATCAGAAATTTTGTGTAAAATACGTAGAATACTATTAAGTAAATAAATAGTTTACTAGTGATTCTTAGCCTCAGAAGTTAAACTTAAGCTGTGATGTATGTTATAGGATCTCTGGGAATTTGGATGTTAGTGCAGATTTGTGGGCTATGACTGAATAAGAATAGGTTTTTGAGAAGGGCTTCTGCTTTTCAAAATTCAGGAAGTCTACTACATAAATTGATTTAAAAAATCAGTACCTAAGTGCTATATGGATGCCTTTACTGTAAAAGTGGAAACTGAAAACACTTTCAGTTGGGTTTTTCCCTCTCATTACCGGTCCTGTGGTATTGGGCAGCACATTTAAGTATGCAAGTTATCCACTGTGAATGCAATCCAGAGTTACCATCCTCTTCTTTGCTTATTCACAGGTTCACAGATGAAGAGTCTAGAGTATTCCTGCTTGATAGGGGTAATACCAGGGACAAAGAGGCTCCAAAAGAGAAAGGATCAGAGAAAGGGAGGGCAGAGGGAGAATGGGAAGATCAGGAAGCCCTAGATTACTTCAGTGATAAAGAGTCTGGAAAACAAAAGTTTAATGATTCAGAAGGGGATGACACAGAGGAGACAGAAGATTATAGACAGTTCAGGAAGTCAGTCCTTGCAGATCAGGGTAAAAGTTTTGCTACTACATCTCACCGGAATACTGAGGAGGAAGGAAACAAGTACAAGTCCAAAGTTTCACTGAAAGGCAATAGAGAAAGTGATGGATTTAGAGAAGAAAAAAATTATAAACTTAAAGAGACTGGATATGTAGTGGAAAGGCCTAGCACTACAAAAGATAAGCACAAGGAAGACGACAAAAATTCTGAGAGAATAACAGTAAAGAAAGAAACTCAGTCACCTGAGCAGGTAAAGTCTGAAAAGCTCAAAGACCTCTTTGATTACAGTCCCCCTCTACATAAGAATCTGGATGCACGAGAAAAGTCTACCTTCAGAGAGGAGAGCCCACTTAGGATTAAAATGATAGCCAGCGATTCTCATCGTCCTGAAGTCAAACTCAAAATGGCCCCTGTTCCTCTTGATGATTCTAACAGGTAATTTCACATAATGCCCGGTAAATATAATGGCTTTTAAAATGTGGGTGGGTGGTTAATATTTCATTTAATTTTTTTATTTTCTGAATACATTTCCCATTTTCATATTCAAACCAATGGTATATTTTGTTTGTGTGTGTGTGTGTACTGATATGTTCCAGACCTGCTTCCTTGACTAAAGACAGGCTACTTGCTAGTACACTTGTCCATTCTGTCAAGAAGGAGCAAGAATTCCGATCCATCTTTGACCACATTAAGTTGCCTCAGGCCAGCAAGAGCACTTCAGAGTCATTTATTCAGCACATTGTGTCCTTGGTTCATCACGTTAAAGGTATGTTTAGTATGCTTAGTATTGTGAATTGAATTTCTCCTGCAAATAGAAGAAAATGAACAGCAATGCTTAATAAATAATGTAGCCTAGGGATAGCAAGAATACAGACAGCATTAAAAATTTGGAAAAAGGAGTGTTTCATGAAGAGTGCTTTCAGTCTTGCCAGCATGATGATATTTAATAAAAACGGATTGAAATATTAAGAGCTAAAACATACCCTAAAAATTTATATCATGGTAAAACACAGTGTAGATTTTGTTAATGCTGAAAGTTTTTTTGAAATGTGCCATTATACTGTATTTGAAGTGCAGAATGCTTACAGGTTACCTTCCATTACCTGCATGTGTATGACTTATAATGTACTTGGCATGGATTTATAACAAAGTCAAACAGCATTGTTACTGAAAATTAAGAATTTTTTCAACTTTTAAAACCTGAAACCTGTGGGAAAACTGGATTATCCTATCTTGTCTTTATATTACTTAATTTGTTATAATACTTACCTTTTCTACATGATTAATAAACCAGAAAAAAATTATTAGGATTTAAAAAAAGATATTTTACTGATTTTAGAAAGAGAAGAAAGGGGAGGGATAGAAAGAAACATCAGTGAGAAACACTGATCAGCTGCCTCCTGCATGCCCCCCTACTGGGGATCAAGCCCACAATCCGGGCATGTGCCCTCACCGGGAATCTCTTTTCTGAACCATGTCAGCTGGGCATATTAGGATTTTTTACTTTATTTTTTTAAATCTTTACCTGAAGTTATTTTTTCCCCCCATTGATTTTTAGAGAGAGTGGAAGGGATAGGGAGAGACAAAGAGAAACAGTGATGTGAGAGAGACATCTATTGGTTGCTTTCCACACATGTTCCGACTGGGGCCCAGGATCGAGCCTGCAACCAAGGTACGTGCTCTTGACCAGAATAGAACCTGTGCCCTTCAGTCCATGGGCCAAACGCTCTGAGCAAAGCTGGCTAGGGCCATATTAGGATTTTTAAAAAGTAAACAAGTTCAAGAAATTTAAAAGTAGATTAGTAATGATTACATGAATAATGACTAATTAGGATAATGGTGAGATTTCTTTAGATACTAAAGATGATAAAGGTGTGCGTTTCACTGAAGCTCTGATGTGCTATTTTCCCCACTATGTAATTCTAGTTTCAAAATTAGTTTCAAAGGTTTAGGGTATGACTTTTTGGGCAGTTAGGTTTAAGTTTTGTTTTGTTTTGTTTTTGTCTTTAAAAGGCAGTGTGCTATGAAATAGATTCTTATTCAGGAGTCACCATGGCTGTTGGTCTTAAAAACCTTTTTTTTTAAAAAAAAAGTTTGTCTTTTGACATGAGAACAACTCATTGTGATAGCTGAAACTTATCACTAGCAATTCTTTATGCACTTGATATTTCAAAACTGAATAATAATTTCTTTTTTTTACTGTAATTATTTAAGCATGGTAACAAAATTCTTTTGTTATTTGGCTATAACTGGGTTTGTGAAACAGTTTATGACCATATTAATGTGGTACATAAAATAGGAAACATTAACATTTTTCTTTTTTCACATTTTTTTGACCTGTCTCCACATTTTACAGTTTATTGCTGAATTTTGAGATCAGGTTTTGATAAAATTTTTTGCTTTTTCATTTTCTTTTTTTTTTTAAAGAACTGTAGTTATGTTTTATTACTGGTATTGTGCAACCGATCTAAACAGCTCTTACTTAATCTAGAGCTGAAAATGCCCAGTGATGTTTTCTTTTTCATTGTAACTAGGTCCTGGAATATGTTTTGAAATGGCAAAATCCATGTTTCAAAGTAAAATAGCTGTTGAAAGATACAGGCAAAGTTGAATCTTCTGTCTTCCTGGCAAAAATGGCATAAAAACTGAGTTGCTAGCTCAAATTCCTGGGTTTCATGGAATTAAGATTGAGGCACTACCCTTGTAGTGGCCGTTTCAAGTTTTAATTGGTTATGAGACATGTGCTGGATACTGGGCGGTAAGTTGACACAGATGTATGTTGACCTGTTAAGCAGATAGCTTGCTTCGTAATGTGACATTTCATGACTTACACCTCTTCTGTATTTTACATTTACAACATACCATGAACTAGTTTAAAAATTAGTATTGATGTCAATAATTTAAAAATTGTTAAAAGAAAGACAAGGCATTAATATCAAATGTGGTGTCAGGTTTGCCAAGATGCCAGATTTTTGGAGTAATTAATGAATGTTAATTGAAAAATATTTTCTAATTGAAATAGCAGTATTAAGTTTTTTCTTAAATCCAATTTTTGCTATCAGTATAGTTTTCGATGAAACAATTTTCTTTATTAAAACCAACAATATAGTTATGTCATTTTTATTTTCTGCAAATGATTACTTGAAGTAACTTCAATTTGTTCATATTGGCAGGGTATAAGGATATTCACATTTTGTTTTTGTTCTGTTTGATGAAATAGTGCATTATTGAAATGAAATTAGAGACTCTCAGTTTAATCTATTTATTGTTTTTGTATTATATGTAGTACTGACAGGGACCTGTGAGGAACTTTGTATCAGTTTCCTGTTGAGGTACAAGAGTTATAAAAGGGACTGGGTAGGAGGAACTCTTGTAACACTTGATTCCTTTCTGCTAGGTTTCTTGAATATTTTTATTTTCTTTTCACTCGCTACATGCCCTTCTGTCACAAATGAATATCCCTCTTAAAGTAAAGATAACTAATTGGGCAGTATTTCTCCTAAATCAACAGAGCAATACTTCAAATCACCTGCGATGACCCTAAATGAAAGGTTCACTTCCTATCAGAAAGCCACTGAAGAACATAGTACCCGCCAAAAGAGCCCTGAGATACACAGGTATGTGTGTACTATTGAACAGGCATATAAAAATGATATTTTGATAGGAAAACACTGTTTAAACAAGATTATATTGGAACTGTTATTATCATGATACAAATCAACTTTGGCTTTATTCCTGATTTATACCTTGAATAAATATACTTCTACTCTTGAAAAGTTGGTAATTTATTGTTTATTCTTAATTTTCAGTTTATTTGGTTTAAACTGGTTGTTAGGATTTAATTACTCTTTTATTACTCCCCAGTAGAATTAAAATAGCACATTTGCTTTTTGGAAGGGGGTTGGATGCCTAGAGTAATCCTTGAATTTAATTTAATTCCAATAAGTTTGTAAAATAAAAATGCTTGGTGGAGAGGCAGAATTATTTTTCATGAAATGAGCATGAACATTGAAGTCAGGCAAGTGTAAGTTCAAATCCTGGCTCTGTCACTTCACTGAATTGGGTTGAACAAGTTATGTAATTTCTGAACATTAATTTTTTTTCATCTACAAAATAAGGATAAAAATGTTTATTTTGCAGGGTGGTGACAATTAGTATTATTGGCTATAAAATATATAACTTAGTACTTATTACATAGTAGGTGTGGTTTTTTTGGTGACTGCTGAGGAAGTGCTGAGAAGTTGCTCCTGACAGACACAAGCTTAAAAAGGCAAGGAGAGGTGCAGAATAAAATTAGAGATCCACTGAATATTTAAAAATATTGGGGATACTTAGGAATAAATGATCCTACTTCTACTTTCATTGAGGATATTAATTGTATTTGTATTATAATTGTATGATGATGGACACTTAAAATGATAATACTTAAAACAGATTTTCTTTTTTGATTAAAATAAGCTTGATAAAGATTAGGCTTCATTTATATATAAAAATCTGGTTGAAAAAGACATTTTAATTCATTTTTAATAGAAATAGTTTTATTTCTTAATTGTCTAATTAGATTAATAATTTTACTATGCTAAATTAGTCGATTGGGAGAGAAATACCTTTCTAGTATTTTCTTCACAAAAATGAAAAATTCTAAGGATTTTTTTGTACCATTAAGTTAATGTGACTACAAATAGACTTTATTTTATATTAAGGAGAATTGACATCTCTCCAAGTGCCCTGAGGAAGCATACCCGATTAGCAGGGGAAGAGAGAGTTTTCAAAGAAGAAATTCAAAAGGTATGTTTTGAAGGGACAGTTTTTTAATGTTAAGTTTAGCTTTGTTAATATTGTATTAAGCATAGTTTGTCTAGGCAAATTGTTTACACACACACACATGCACACACAATATTCCCTTCCTAGAAGAAATTAAGCTGACAGTATATCATGTACCTAAGAAACCAAGAGTAGATTTTTCTTTTTTTTGGCAAGCTGTTGATAGATGCAGAGAGCAAGATCTCAAATGCTCCCTAAGTCAAGAGTAGTTTTAAAAAATGCTAATGAAAGGAAGAAATTACTTCCAAGAAAAGGGTAAAGAATCAATGGGCAGACAAAGGGACATTTTAAAAGCAATGATACAAATTATATTAGGGTTTCTATAAAGTTTTGTTGTGAAATGGATGAGCTGGAATAAATATTCCTTGATTTATGTATGCCTAAATTAAATCTGTAGGTTCTTCACAGAAGTAATACCACGGCTGCTGAGCATTTTTGCTCTGGACTAAGAAATAATCCTAATAACTGAATGTTTGGAACAAAAACTATATGTCATATTAGAATGTGTGTGGATTTTGGAGGATGAATGTTTTTAAACTTGAGAGAGGCCCCTATGAATAACTAACTGGCTTGGTGGGGCTCTGTGAGAATGAAATTCATTCATGGGTGGGCGGGGGGGGGGGCTTAGATGATACTCTGGGGAAAAGTAGAAAGTGAGCAACTGTAATGAAAAGGTTAGGTGACTTGGAAGTACTGCTTTGTTGAAATTCTGGCTGTCACCAAATACTGTCTGATATTTAGAAAACATTTAGCTTCTTGGACATGGGTTTTCCATTCAGAAAAACGAGAATACATCTGTTTTGGAAAGTTGTTGAACAATGGGCCTATTATGGAAACATTGGCGCTTTTATTACTAGAAGCTTTTAATAGTTGTGTACAAATTTTTAAAATATGACTTACTAGATATGGAATTTATAGATTAGAAAGAAAAGGGTTTCTTTGCATGGAGTATATTGATCTTGGAAAAGCCAATTCTGAGAAGTGAATACTAATTTTGGCTTTTACTTTCAATACCTTGGATTCAGTGTCGGTTTTGTTTCGCCAACAATTTAGTCTATCCTTGTGCTCCGACACTGAGTATTTTGCTTCTTTAGTTACTCATACCGGTTTTTGAACTGGAGAGGAAAAAATAGTTATTACTGATGGATGGACAAGTGGATATGCCATTGCCTTTTATCTTTCATCTTCCTATCTGAATGAATAATATATATATGTTAATGTGTAATATACATATAGAGTTTATAAACTATTTCCACTTTCCTTTAGTCCTTTACCTTGGTACTTTTGGGCTTGGTAATACCTAGGCGAATAGGAAGGTTTTTGCTCTTGATTTGATTTTTTTTCTTGGTTAGCCTGGGAGCAAATAGGTGAGTAGTTGATATTATTTGGATATATACTTATATTTTCAGGTTTATGAATGCTTATGAATATTATAGTTAGACTTCCCAGTACTACTAATTGTTGAATACTAGCAAGGATGTCCACATTATTAGCATCTTACTGATGTGTAATTTTTCTTCATTCCTAGATTCCTCTTTCCATCTTCCTAAATTATATAGTATTTGAAAAAGCAATGGAACAAGAAGGAGGTGAATTGTGACCCAGTTAAACTAATGTCCGTTGCAATACCTGAATTGAGAAAGGGCAGTATATGGCCCAAGATACTGAGTACAGGATTGGGAATAATGTCTTCCTGGCTTTGTTTCTACCCTTGTTTAACTTGAATTGATTTCATTAATCATATTCTAGTTGCATGTTATGGAAATTACAGATTCCTTTCTTTAAGTGGTTTTTATTGGGTTGGTCATCTTCTTTGGAAAGAGCTTGATGATAATGAGGTTTAAGTAATTAGAACCATTACTTTAGGATATCTTAACTTCATAGGCAGATGGCTACATCACAACTATAGATTATAACCTTTGTCAATGTTCAAGTCCTTAAAAAATGCTATTTGGAGAGATGAGGATAATAGGATTGCTGAGTGGAAAAATAATTATTGCTTAAAAATTTATGGATTGTTTTGCACAAAAATTTAGGATTTTTAAGATAGATTTTAATAACTTTTCAGTCTCACTGCATTTGTGTACATAACGACTTAGTAAAAACAACCAACTACACTTTTTTTTTTAACAAAAACTAAGTACGGAAGTAGTTTATGATCCTTTCTTTTTTCTGATCCTAAAATGTCACTTTAGAAACTGGCAAAAACTTGGCTATATATGTACATAAATATATTTTTTCTTTCCCCCCTGAAAGTTACTTTGTATCTATCTTTTATAGGGAGATAAAAAATTAAGGTGTGACTCTGCTGATCTTCGGCATGACATTGATCGTCGGAGAAAAGAAAGAAGCAAAGAACGGGGGGATTCCAAGGGCTCCAGGGAATCCAGTGGGTCAAGAAAGCAGGAAAAAACTCCAAAAGATTACAAGGAATACAAATCTTACAAAGATGACAGGTAATTGTTAAAACTGTCTGAATTAGGTTTTAGCTTCTAATTAGCCTTTAATAATTGTCAGCTTAATTGCTTTCAATTTTGACTGTGTAATCGAATATTTAAATTTAAACAATTAAAATTATTTGTTTTACAGCAAAAATGTATTTGTCTTTTACTCGGCTTATGGTGGATGAGGACAAAAACTTTGGAATAGCAAGCTAACACTGAAAAAAAAAAATGACAAATTAATGTGTCCTATTATCCAGGCTACATCAGGAGGTTGGACTTCAATGCAGTGCATTTCTAGAAACAGTTTGTGTAAGAACTTTGGTTCGTTATGCTTGATTCCGCACTTTTTCAACTCATAACACCCAGAGTACAAGAATTTTAAACTGATATCTAGTGGTTTAACATGGGAGAGATGGGGGGAGGAAGGATTAGTTTTTATGAAATAGCAATGTGTATTAGTCTTTCAAAGTAATGTTTCCATGGATACTGTTAGCAGTGGTAAGAGTTATTGCAGGTATGACCTTTTCGGGTGTTGTATTAGAATCATGTAATATTGATCACCATAGTGTCAAATAAATAATAGGAATACTAAGTTTCATAGATAATTGTTTTTATTTATTTTTATTTTTGGTATTCATTAGGTAAATGGTGGATTTTACTTGTGTTTTTTTTATTGTATGTCATGTGTTTTTTATTTCTATAACGGAGTAATGGCCCAAACCATACCAGCTATTCTCACCATGGTATACAAACTACAGTCGTTTTGAAACTTGCCTTTTCCTACTCTTCTTTTTCTTTCCTTAAAATAACAACAAAAACAAAAAGTTAAAAATATGGAAAAACTGAACCTCATACTTGAAGTTTCCAGACTACTAGTATGATTTTCAGTAGTGGTGTAAAACAAATATTGAAGGAGAATGGAAACAGACTGTCAAAGTTTAACACCCAATTACTTTAGTTATGTAATCATTGTAATAGGGGATAGTTTTTTGGCTTGAAAAATATCCCTCTTATTATAAGATTCAACAGGTTCTTCATCGTTTTTAAAGATAGCACATTTTTTTTCTTTATTTTTCAGTAAACATAAAAGTAGAGAGCAAGATCATTCTCGATCTTCATCCTCTTCAGCATCACCTTCTTCTCCCAGTTCTAGAGAAGAAAAGGAGAGTAAGAAGGAAAGAGAAGAAGAATTTAAAACTCATCATGAACTAAAAGAATACTCGGGCTTTGCAGGAGTTAGTCGACCACGAGGAACCTTTGTAAGTGATAAAATTATCTTTGAATTTTTGATAGGACTTTACCTTAGAATACTGTACATAAGGACAGTTAAATTATATGACTTCGAATTGTTATGTGAGTCATTACTCCTGCAGTTAGAATTGGTCTTGAAAAATGAAATTGTATTTGAAGTATCTTCATTTAAGAAATGCCATTTAGGGGAAGGGAGGAGGGTCTGGAGTGGGATGATACTTTCTTTGTACACAGTAATAAATGTTTTCGCCTGATTAAAAGAAATGCCATTTTGAGATCTAGAAGCATCTGTATAAACTAGATACATTTCTTATAACTATACATAGTGCTTAAAGGTCCAAGAGTCAAGGACATTTATGGATTGAGACCCATTTTAAAAAATCACTTAGTTTTGGAAAGATACCTAAAGACATTTTTAAAAACCCATATGTTTGTCTCTGTATTACAACATTTTGATTTTTCCCTGTTTTCTTCAAGTTCTTGTTTATATGTGTATCAACCATGGGAACCATAACTTTTTATTCTACACAGCATCATATTACCTTCATATTTTAATTATTTTAATAACTTCTTAGTGCATATTCTTTTTGACTCTTTAATTTTTAGAATCAGATTCCTATCTTGATCGAGTTCCAGTTGGTTATTTTAGAGTTCATTGAGTAGATCATTGAGAAAAAGAAGAGCATTGCTTAACTGATGATAGGTATAGTTGAACACTTGGGGCTCCTATGATAATTCAAAGGAATTAGACAACTCTTTTGGCTAGTCAAAGGGAAAAGAACCAATTTGATTATTTTTATTTAAAAATACTAGGTCAGGCCATGGAAAGTGTAGTATTTGAACACTTAGTTTTTGTGCATTTCTTCTTAACCTCACTTTCAGAAGGCATTGTTTTTTGCCCATTATATAAAATGGCCATCCTTTCCATCCTTAGTGGCTATGAGTTGGGATTTAGGAAGGAAATTAGGAAATATGTTTTTTGTTACTGCAGTAAAATTAAAGAGTTTGCATGTAACTTAAATACCTTTAATTGCATTACTAAACAACTTTGTTAATGTTAATCAGTTTCGAATTAGAGGCAGAGGAAGAGCCAGAGGAGTTTTTGCTGGGACAAATACTGGTCCAAACAACTCAAATACTACTTTTCAAAAGAGACCGAAGGAAGAGGAATGGGATCCAGAATATACCCCAAAGAGCAAGAAGTACTTCTTGGTGGGTGTTAGACATCTGTCTTTATTTGGTTTGCATTAATTTTCAAAGCATACAGATATCCACTGCTATGAAAAGATTTCACCATAGTGTGGGAACTCTTAAATAAAAGTTCATTACCCAGATGGTTTGAAATACTGAAAATGTGGGTTCCTTTAGTCCTGTCTGTTCTTTATTGACATCACCTATGGGCTGATCAGGGTATCAAATTTATACCTGATTTGATAGCCACATTCAGAGAACTTCAATATAGGTTTTCTGTCTATAAGACAGTGAAACTTGTAGAAACTTCTCATTAAGATTTACTGTCTATTATCACAGCCAATTGTTTCAATGAAAGACGAGAAGAATTCTACATGTAATTGAGGATTTCAGGGAGGCTATTTGGAGTAAAAGGAGGATGAAAAATCACATTACGGGAATGTGCTAGATACACTAATTTGATGTTTCCTTGTGATGCTTTACTTGAAGTAGTTTTCTAAGGAATGAAACAAGAGAAGGTGGTCATGAAAGATTCTCTAGTTAGTGATGGGAATTTTCTGCAGTTTGACATGGAGGAGAAGGGTCTGTCCTGCATTACAGACACAGACTTAAGGAAACACCAAAACTATTACCACAGAAGCATTCATTTTTGTCATAGCTTCTCAGGGAAGTCATGTTTCAGAAGTTAGTTATGCAGACCTAGTTGTTTCGTTGAAGCAAGTAGGAAGATAGTACTGGATTTACAGAATTGTATCTTCCATTTGGCTTTTATGAATGTATTATTTAAATAAATCTGAATTTCCATGGCACATCAGCTAAGTTAGAGGATAGAGCTATATTCTGAAGTAGGTTGATAGTTTTTTTGGAAAATGAACAATAAATAATTGTTTCAGGAATTAGTTCCCAGTTGCCTCTTTTTTGGGTACTTTAAGTCTACCAGACCTGAGGCCCTGACCCTAACTGTCCCCTATACCTTGGCTCCTGAGCATTAAAGAGAAAAGACCAACATGATATAGAAAAATGTTAGTTATATGCAAACAAGTGGTTAGAATAATATGGAACTTGGAGACATTGTAGAAAATAGGTTTACCTTTCATCTGCCTTTCATCTAGCACCAATATTCCACCTTTGTGTGGAAATTACCTAAAAATCGGTACAGCGGTCTGGTAGGGTTAATGACCAAGAGTCCAAAAAATGCTAAATTTTTACAGAGTACATTATGCATGTTTGCTTAGCATGTACTCCTATGAGGAGAAATTTATGCTTGAGTTGTTTGACTTGACAATCTGGAAAGTGAAAGGCACTTTATTGTTACAGTATAGAACAGTTTAAAAGATCCATCTCTTGATTTCAGAATTTATGTATAACAGATTGTTATTCTAGGTCTGAAGGATGGGAAGAGAAATATGATATAATTCCATTTTTTGGCTTAGAAACTAGTAAGGGAGAAGCAGGCATTCTAAATATGTATTGTGGATTTTCTCCAAAGGAGGAAATGGTGGATTATTGCAAAGGAAAGTGATTCAGAAAAACTTGGTAAAGGGCCTTGGCTTGAATCTTGAGCTTAAAAGATGGTCAGATGATCCTGATACAGGGAATTCCTGGACTCAGGTGGCTAGATGGTTGGTATAAGTTCTGGAAAATAAAGCCAAAGCAGGAGCTAAGTTGTGGAAAGCCATAATACTTTTGTAAGTTTGGATTTTAAGCAGTTTTTGAAGAATCATGGTTGTGAACAGATACATCTGAGTGATTTTGAGTGAGCTAAGGGGCTAGATTTGAGAAAAGAAAGTAACATTTGTGGGGATTTACTCAGAGACCCACTAGTTGGGTGTTGGTACTGAGAAGAAATTCTCTTGAGATATAGGGACACAAGGGAAAGAAACCCATTTGAGGAGATAAAGTTCAGTTCTTGAAATCCCAGGATAAATCAAGTTGAGATGTGCAATGGATAGTTGTTTAATGCATCTCTAGAAAGAGAAATTTAGGAGCCTCATTTTACAGGACACAACTAAAGCCATTATAAGATCTCTCATTCAGAAGAGGAGAGATTAAAAGGCCAACCTTTGAAAGATGGGGTGAGGAGTTGGGTGATGATAAAAATGCCAGGGAGTAGATCAAATGTAAAAGGTCAAAAAGAGAAGTAAAATTAGTAGATTTTATAAAACACTTGTACTGTTGTACAAATACTTAATTTAGGCCAGACCTTCATTTTTCTGTGTCATTATTTCATAACCTAGTATCATATTTTTACCTTAAATTGGGACATAATCATTTTAGGTTGGTCTGTAATTAGCAGTTTTACTAATTAAGAGGTGTGTTATTTTAAGAAGTAGTAGTAACATTTTATATGTTGCTGTTCTGGGTTATATTTAAAAATTTACATTTCTGCATTAAGAAACGTACATTGTACATTTGGCACAAACTGATGTTTACTGGAAGTAAAATGAACACAATACATTTTTTTCTTATAAATCAATTCCCAAAGTTAATTATTTTGGTTCTTTTTTTTAAACAAACATGATTTTTAACCAATAGACATAAGACACTGGGGGATAGGGGAGGCTAGGGGACTGTCTAGGGTGGGGGGGAAAAATGGATTTTACTGATTTTAGAGAGGGGGGAGGAGGAGAGAGAAACATGGATGTGTGAGAGAAAAATCCATCAGTGACCTTTTGGTGCATGGAAAGATGCTCAGCCAACTGAGTCACACCTGCCAGGCTTATTTCGGGACTTAATTAATGAGCCATTGAAATGACAACTCATTTTTACATGGATATTTAAATTTAAAAGATTTTGCATCTTCTGTAAAGATAACTTGATTTTTCAGACAACTAATGTTGAGAATAGGAGTATAAACAAAAATATGATTCTGAGGAAATGAGATTAAAAACGATACACATTCCCCTAGATTCTTTCAAAACAGTTTACCAGCATGGAAGGTTTATCTATATTGATGAAACATAATACTCAGTAATAATGATACTCTGGGCATAAATCTGTGTTTTACATGTGTTTATTTCATGGTTATAAAATCCTTTTGAGGTGGGGCCATTATTTCACTTTTACATATGGAAAACACTGAGGTACAGAAATTGAGCATCTTGACCAAAGTTAATATTACATGACTCGTGGAAGTGGGGTCAGAATTTGAACCCATGTATTGGCTCCAAAGCCTTGGTTCTGCAAGCACAGAATTGTCCATCCAGTACTGAGTAATAGTAACATTTATTGTATACTTTTCTGAAATTTCCTATCTTAAAACTTGGATTTATGCAGATATGGAGATATTTTCAATAATAAGTACTCCGGGAGATATAATAGTCTTAGAACCTGAAATTCTATGGAGGGCAAGTATATGAAGTTGGAGCAAGTGGAAAAGTGCTGCAGTGGGCAAGTTCTCGGTGGTGAGTTTATGTTGTATCCTGAGGAAGAGGAAAAAAAAACCCTTGGTGGGAAAGGGGGTTCAAGATTGGAGTTTTAATGAATTTAACCCTTTGATACTTGATCATTCTATGGAGAAGAGATAAAGGGATTCAAAAGATCTTGATTGTCAATATGGCCTCCATGTATAACATTTTTAATTGTGTACTGCACATATCTGACTTCTCTGGCCCTTTATCATTTGTGAAATAATTTTTAAAAGTTGTAATAAGATTAAACTTGAGGATTAAGAGTTAGTATGGGTGTGAGAACTTGAGGATTAGTATGCTTTTAACTTCTGAAGTACAATATATAGTGTAATGTTCTAGCCATTGGTTGTTGTTTTTTTAGCCCAGTTTAAAAGGATTGTTAATTTAAAAGTACTGGTTAGTTTAACCTCATGTCTAGCTTTGCTACTGCTTTTTCTGTTTTCTACTCTTAGCTGCCTTGTATGGTAATCATTCACTGTTACCAAGATTACTGGGAAATGTATTCTGTAGGTGATGTGGTACAAGGGTAGTGCAAAGGACTACTGCTGTGGCCTTGGGCAAGTTACTCAATTTCTCCATGCCTCAGTTTTTTCATATCTGAAGTGGTATTAGTAACAGTATTTGGTGGGGTTGTGAGGATTAGATAAGTAAATAAATACATAGAAAGTGATCAGAAACAGTGACTTCCCATAGTAAACACTATAATACAGCACAGTAGATTGAGACCTTTTTTGTCACACACTGGGCTGGACACTTTATAGATCATCTGTGTTTCCTTAAGGTTCTCTCATTTAAAATGAAATAAAGTCACAAAGTTTCTGTTAAGATATAAACCCATGCCTCTGACGACAAAACCTCTGACGATAAAACCTGTTTGCTTTTCCCACAAATTTATGGAATACTGTGAAAATACACAAACAATAAAAAACAACAACTTTGGAGTTGGGTATGCTGATATCAAAGGAAGCCTTGAAATTATCTAACTGCATGAGCATTATTTTGAATGGCAGACTATTTTAAAACAGTTTATTTCCAGTTTCAAATTAAACTTTATGGCATTGAAATTTATACTTATGATAGTTGCAAAATTTGTTTTTTATGGGGTCTTACACACACCTAACTAGTAACGTTTCATTGGTTTGGTAAAGATAATTAGGAATTGTAAATGTTCTTTATGTAGTCTGTTAATTACATGTGTAATTGAGCTTTTTAAGTCATGCAGGAGGGTGATCTGTAGTACATGAATAGGCACAAAGGCATATTCTGTTTTAAAAAATGTGCTCATATATAATTTGAAGAAAAGTTTTAGTGACTTGGGCAGTTGATCAATATCAGTAATCTACAGGTTATGCAACATTGCATTTATGCCTGTTGTCTCCTATAGGGGCATCATTTTGCCTTATTTCTTAATTGTGAAGGGGGGTAGCAGTTAATTAAATTACATTACAGGAGAACTTTGGAATGTAATACTCATTGACTTGTCCACAAAGTCAGGTACTTTTTAGTTTTGCAGATTGTTTTGATTAATGGAATAATTATTAATTTGTGAAACTCTTTGGATGCAGCTAGTGAAAAATTATGATTGGAATGTAATAGCTACAGTACTTCAGATTGGTGAAGAATAAATAAGTTGAGGTATTTCTCTAGGGAGAAATACTCTCTAGGGAGAAATCATCATGATTTGAGATGACCTACCCCTGAAGATTGATGTGTAATATACATAGATTTAGATTTAAATCTCAGATTTAAAATCTGTTTCTATATGTAAGGTATAATTCATACCACCTATTTAATGTTGATGTTACTGTAATGATATTTTTATAACTTTTTCACATCTTTATGACTAAAGTTTTTTTGGAAAAATGTTGGTCTCATTTACATGCAATATAAATAGTAACAAGTGGACTTAGATTGAAATACTGGAAAGGAAAAAATTAAAAATCTGAAATTTGGCAGAATTTAACAGTTGAGATTTTCCAAAAAATTGTCTGGGCAGCTCTCAGTGCTTGGGTTACTAAGCAGTATAATGTAATTATTTGCTTTGACAAAGTTTTTGTTGAAAAGTTATTTTACTGGTTTTGTTTTATTGTTTTAAAACATTACCAACCTCATAAACCAAATCAGGAAATTTATACCATGACTTATGATTTAGGGATATAATCATTTTCCTTACAAGAAAGACATTTCAGTGATGATTGTTTTTAACCTTTCTGTAGCATGATGACAGAGACGATGGTGTGGATTATTGGGCCAAAAGAGGAAGAGGTCGTGGTACTTTTCAACGTGGCAGAGGGCGCTTTAACTTCAAAAAGTCAGGGAGCAGTCCAAAATGGACTCATGACAAATACCAAGGGGACGGGATTGTTGAAGATGAAGAAGAGACCATGGAAAATAATGAAGAAAAGAAGGACAGGCGTAAAGAAGAAAAGGTAGACAATTTCAAGTTGTTAGTGACTCTAACAGATTTTCTTGGGTTTGGTGGGACAGTTAATAGTTAGGAACAATGACTTTTATAGATCATTTTCATACTCTCCATCTTTGCTAATCTTTATTTTCTCTCTCTTTTTAGGAATAATAAACCTGACATGAGATTGCAACAAAGAGCAGAACTTGCACCCACTTTTTTTTTTTACCTGATTTTTGTTTTCAAATAAGAATGTAAGCATTTTACTTAAATTTTACTGTTTGCAAGTAGTCTATAGAAGTTTTGTTTTAAGTCTTCAAATATCTTGAAAAAATAGTAGATTGTATGTTGAAAATTGTACTGAAATAAAGTAGAAAATTGTTAATGTACCCTATTTGTAACTATCAACTTTTAAAAATAATACTTTTACTGTTTTTGTTACATGCATTGTAATTCTGCTTTGTCTATAAGATATGGTCAAGTACAGCTCTGTGAAAGATCTGATTCTCTTCCCTCCCTGTTCGTTAATGTTTATGCTGAAGTAAACGTTAGCTCTACATACAGATTTCTGAAAAGAAGTTGTTTATAGAGATCACACCTAGTTATTTTAACTCTATATATCTGTTTTAACATTTTCCTTAATTCAAACACACTACATTGTAGGGTGACTAATTTTTGAAGTGTACCCCAGAAAAAGTTGTTACTTTGGTAAACGTAAGCTAGTTTAATACTTCAGCAAATGTTTAAGAAAAACAGCTTTGCCAAGAACTAAGAAATACAAGCTCATAAAAGTTAGATTACAAAGTATTAGTTTGTTTTGTTGTTTGTTTTTGTTTTGTTTTGTTTGTTTGTTTTTATTTTGTTTGTTTTTTTTTTTACTGAGAGCAAGCAGTGGCCTATAAAAACCACACTTAGGAGCCTTTACTATTTGGATTCAAAATTCAGTGTTCTATTTTTATTTGAAAGTATGAGTCATGGTCTTAGATAGCAGCTATTCTATGAGAGAGGAAACTGGTTTGTAATAAACAGCAAATAAAAACCCTATTCCTACCGAACATTTTATTTTTAACACAACAAGACCTGTAATCGTGATGTGGTATGGAAGAGGATTATCCTGCAAAATAAAGATGTGTCTGATTTGATATCTTACATATTTATTTGATCTTTTGGACAGTTGAAATATTAGTTTGTAGTCTGACCATAAAAAATTGGCAAACAACATACTGTTCATTAGTTGTATTTTAAGTAACTTGTTTTTCAAATGTCAACAATAAACGTTTTGACAGGAAGTTTTGTTGCAGCATTGATCTAACTTGTTTTTACTTTTTCCCCCCTATTTCATTTTGTAAAATGGCCTTTTCTTTTTCTTTCCTAGGGTTCTATTTTTTAGGTAGATAATCTTGAAAATGTGAATTACTTTTATGCTTATGCTGATTGCTCTTAAAGGAATGAAAATCTGAAATAGTAAATTTCAGTGTTAAGTATGTCTGCTTTATGAGCATATATAAAAGTAGTCAAATTTCATTAATTCAGCAATTGAATTAGTTGTATATGTTTGCATTAAAAGGAGATGATGCTTATTCTGCTAGTGTAATCTTTTAAAGATCTTAAGTATATGGCCCTTTCATTCTCATTTGATGATTTGCAATCCTTCTAGCACCTTGATTGCAGCCAGGATAATTTGAATTTGCTAAGAGCTATTAGGTGGGTTGCAGGCGAGAGGGACCGAACCTCAATATGTGATTTTTATGGCCCTAAGATCTTTAGTATTGCGTGATTTCTCCTGTTAATTTTGTCTTTCTGAAATTGTTACAGCAGAGGAATACTGTCAAAGCAAGTATGTGTGTTGGATTGATCAGAACAAAACTAATACCCTTCCAGTTAGAATAATTACTTCCTAAAGCAACATGGATTTGATCTCCAACACAGGAGAATTTTCACAACCATTTTATTTTATACAAATAAATTTAGCTTTTTAAGTTATTTTGTTGAATACTAAATCTCTATGCATGATTTTAAATGTGCAGTTTTTCTTTTGCACTTACGACAACAGGAAAAAGGGAATTTGCTGAGAAATTATTTTAGGGAGTTGGGAATAAAGCTACTTAAGTCCTATCAAGTTATATTTTAAGGAGTACAGGTGCATTGCTTTAACCCAGATATGTTTAGGATTCCATTACTTTATTCTTTTAAAATTGAGGAGAGAGCATGTTACCAGGATATAGTAGGAAGGATGATTGTGGATGTTTTCTTTTTCAGAAAAAGTCAAGCATATAAAAAGTAGTCTGTATTTTTATTTTAAATTGATTTAGAGAGGAAAGGGTTGGGAGTGGGGTGGGGGGGGCGAGGGGGAGAGAAACATTGATCAGTTAGTTGCCTTCTGCATGTGCCCTGACCAGGGAATTGAACCTGCTGGGTATGTGCCCTGATAGGGAATTGAACTTGCCACCTTGTGTACGGACAACACTCCAACCAACAGAGCCGCATAGGCCAGGGCTGTGTGTATTTTAAAACCACAATTTAATTCCACACTTCCTGATGTTATAAAAGTTAAATGGTTTCTCTTGGTAAGGATATATGTTTGCAAGTGCCAGAAAAATGATGACTTGATATCTGCATTAACAGATTTCCTTTTGCCCAGAGAAAGAAAATAAAACTCAACCAAAGGGTATTTCCAGAACAGATAGCTGTTTAAGAAGGCCATGACTCTTTAGATGTGTATACCTTTCAACATCTTAGAATTTTAATACAAAAAGCAAAATATGTTTTTCCAATTATAGCCTACTCTAGGGAATTACTATTGTTCCCTTTTGTCACTGTTAAAATCAAGTGTTGGGAATTATAGTTTGAGATGAAAATATTACCCAATAAGAATGAATGTAGATGGCTCAACGATTCTTACTCAGTGTGATGTATACTAGTAATGCAACAGGGACTCTTGTAAATTGTCATATGCCAATAAAAATGTCATAAGTGGTAATAGCTGTTTGTTTACCTGATTTTGAGATTATATCTGTGTCTGTTTTATGCAATTGATTTCTATGGCCAATTTCTAGATTTTAGAATACCAATTAATCTCTTAGGAAAATCATTGGTGTGGTGTGGCGTTTTTGAGGGGGTTGATACGTACTTTATAAAACTCCTCAAACCCCTATGTATAGTTTTTTCTTGTTTCCTTTGGAAAAATGGAAAATTTTCCAGGTCATTATTAGAGGATGCAGGAATTCAGATTTCCAGTTTAGCCCTTCGATTCCTGTAATAATACAGGAATTCATCAGCCATAATATGATGGAGAATCAGCATTACTTTTTTTTCTAAAAACGTAGTGGTCAGTTAACTAAACAGTTTTGTTTTTTTTTAAGTTAGTCTTTGAGTAAGATCTGATATAATTCTTACAGTGCCCCTTTTACAATTTATTTGAAATTTTAAAAATGGGCAATTCTGTCAACTTTAAACGCATTTTCACAGAAATGTGTATACCGAGACAAATAGATTTTGTCTAATACAAATGGCAGATTATCCTTTTAAAACTTTGTTAGGGAAGTAACTCTTGTAAGTATGTTTAATATCACTAGGTAATTTTAAATACCAGTTCTCTATATAAAAGTATGCTGTCTTAATTATTAGGGACATATTATTTAACTTTTTTTAAAAAGAATTTACATAATTGATTTTTTCTTTTTGGGCTTCAACTAGATTTTGATATACTTTTTGTTTCCATACAAAACATATTCCTTTTATATTCATAAAGAGAAGTACAGACTTAATTCATGAAGACACTAGATAGGGAAGGCAAATGAAGAAGTAAACTTCATTGTCATGGGATTGTATAGTCTCCTCAGTGGTAGACACTGATATATCCCTTAACAAAATTTTAGAGTATTATCTGTTCTATATATTTAGGTTTTTCAAATAGTTAAAACTTTTATTTTTAAATCTGAATGTTGAGTCTAAATTTATTGGAGTAGAGATTAAAAATTAGGAGTCTTAACATTAATGAAGTTTTAAGTGAACAAGGTTTGTTATTACTCAGTTTCTTGGAATCCAGAAATATGTTGAAATTAGTTGTATTCCATTGTCTGACTGGAGCCTTGGAGACTTGATTTATGAGCTGGACTCCTGGTTTTCCAGAAATGATTAGTAATGATTACTGATGATTAGTGTGCATCAGTTATGAGGATGAAGCCAAAGTTGTATATTTAGTTTTGTTCTCTATATTGTTACCTCATTATTCTTTAGCCTGTAAAAATGGATCCCAGTGTTTAAAGAAAATGGGCATTAGGATGGCATTTCACCACCACTAACTACTAGGAAAAAAACCTCAAATGTCTCAATTATAATGATCTGTACATGAGAACATTTTCCCTGCAGATATTTTAGGTGTTTTACAACAGTGAACTGATTTGTAGCACTCTTAAAATGCAGGAGATAATTTTGATTATTGTAAGTAGGAAAGGATTGGGCAAGTGGGTTTTAATGCTATTCCCATAAGAATTGGAATCAAATTTTTCTTAATCTCTTGGCTTTGCCCAACTTCCTGATTCAATAATAATGAGCCCTCCCTTCAATAAAAGCAGACAATAGTAAATACACTGGACAGTTAGCTAAATTGAAAGGATTTATATTTTTATATCCACAGCATGAACTATTTGGCAGTAACTTGGTGCTATCATAGTGGTTGCAAATTTCATGGACCACAGAAAGGACCAACTAAAAGTAAAGAATATTCTCATCTACCAGGATAGTCGTTTACTTGCTATTATCTAGTCCTACTAGACTATGAAAGGCCATAATTTTTATGTCTGTCTTGTACTAGAAAGGGAAAACTAAACATTAAGCTTCCAGGGTACTTCTAGGACTGCCATGAGGGGAATGTTAAATACACTTTGAACTTTTTTGAAAGAAGTTGAATAGCATCACAAATGTATGCTATTCTTGGTCTTAGTCTCTAAAGATAGTTATAATAAAATAATTTATCTGTAATGTCAGTATACAATTATTTTTTATGTATATATTTGATGATATTCAACTTGCAAAATTAAAGTGCTTCCTCCCTTCCACCCTCCATGATACTGTCTTAAAAGATACTCATCCCTGCCCCAGCTGGTATACAGGTTGCAGGTTCTATCCTTATATGCCAGTTCTTGGATGACAATTTGCTGTTAGCTGTAAGGCAGTCAAAATATGTTATTTGGCATTTTTATGTCGAATTTTTTCTTGTTAAAAGTTATTGCTAAAAATGAAAAGGATTAAATGGAAACATTGGGAGTACTGATGTACTCTTTGGATGATCCAGAAGACTGGCAGAACATCCTTTTAACTATTTTTCCTGTGTTGTAGGTTTTATTTAAGTGATAAGAGTCAAAGCATTCCTACTTGTGAGCATATAAATGTACCAGAAAACAAATTATAAAAGGAGACATATGTAATACCCTTTGTAATACTTTAAGCAATAAAACTAAAAAAAACCCAAAAATTAAAAGAAAACAAATTACAGAATCTTATCAAGTCACAAATCTAAAAAAATGGAATCAGAAAATCAAACATCAGTTAACCAATTTTTGCTTTTCGAGAGGTCTAGCTATAGTATAATTTTTTTGTTGAAAAATAGTAGTTAAAACACATAAGACCTTTGGATTCAAACACTAAGCATAATCTAGGCTTGCTTTTATATAAATTACTTAAAAGTTTCAAATCTGCTTTTATACTATAAACATTTAGATTTTGTAATTTTCATATTACATCATTATAAGTTAGTAGCAATTTAAATATAAGTAATAGGCCTCTGCTCTGTTTTTCATTACTTGATCATTGTCAATTAAAAAAAGGAAATGTTTAGGAGATTTTAATTTGAAACATGATTTTAATATCAAGGAAAATCTTGGTCTTAGTTTCTAAAATTTCTGAATAAATACAAAGTTTTAATGACCCTTTAAGAGGTGTGTAATCTTAAATAGTACTGGTCTGTTTATATTTACTGTGTCACTACTACTCTGAGAGGCTTCAAGCATAGACACAACAAGGAAAAAGGCCCTAAGTATTTTTCTTTTTGAAGTTATAAAACTTAATTTTATGGGCATGTACATCCCAATACGGAGATCACCCTTTCATGGGACTTACGGTTCAGGTTGGAGAGGCTATTGCATACTTTGGTAGTATGTTGTATTCTGCCCCATTATTTAAGACGAGAGGCCCAGTGCACGAAACTCGTGCATGGGAGGGTGTGTCCCTCAGTCCAGCCTGCACCCTTTCCAGTCTGAGATCCCTCTCAATCCAGGACTGCTGGCTC